GAATTGGACTAGGGGGAGGGGCTGCGCCCCCTCCTTCCTTCCCTTCTCTCTTCCCTTTCCTTCTCTCTTCCATTTCCTTCTCTCCTACTCCTACTACATGGAAGGGCTCCTAGTTCTACTAGGAAAGGGGGGATCCTACTCTCGGTGGGAGTAGGACTCCCCTAGGGCGCGCCATAGAGAGGGCCGGCCCTCCCCCTCCTCCACTCCTTTATATACGGGGGCAGGGGGCACCCCATAGACACACAAATTGATCTTCGTGATCGTTCCTTAGCCGTGTGCGGTGCCCCCGTCCACCATATTCCACCTCAGTCATATCGTAGCGGTGCTTAGGCGAAGCCCTGCGTCGGTAGAACATCATCATCGTCACCACGCCGTCGTGCTGACGGAACTCATCCCCGACACCCTGCTGGATCGGAGTCCGGGGATCGTCATCGAGCTGAACGTGTGCTGAACTCGGAGGTGCCGTACGTTCGCTACTTGGATCGGTCGGATCGTGAAGACGTACGACTACATCAACTGTGTTGTCATAACGCTTCCGCTTTTGGTCTACGAGGGTACGTGGACTACACTCTCCCCTCTCGTTGCTATGCATCACCATGATCTTGCGTGTGTGTAGGAATTTTTTTGAAATTACTACGTTCCCCAACATGCCGGACTTCCGCCCACTTCTCGCACTTGTCGATCCGCTTGAAGACGTGGAGGTACTTGAACTCTTGGTCGATGTTGTCATCGCGAAACACGGCGAACATCCGCAGCAGCTGCACCGAGAAACATCAGCCGGCAGGCGGGCACACAGGCGCGTATAGGGCAAAAAGAAAAACAGAGAGGCCGGCATGCTATACCTGATCATCGATGCTGGCGCCGCTCTCCGGGCGAGCCGCGATCTCCTCAACGATCCCATGCCATTTGTTGCATGCCGTTTGGATGAGCCCCCAATGGCTCGCCATCGCCTTCGACCCGCGCTGCACGTGAACGCCTTTGAAGTAGGGGTCGACGAGCTTGCGCTCGTCGAACTCGACCTTGATGCGGTCCCAATACGTCTCGATGCTCTGGTTCGTGTCGGTGGTCGGGTCGAGGCAGACGACTTTCCACGCTTCGGCGAGGCACTCGTCCTCCTTGGACGTCCACTTGATGCGTGGCTTGCCGGTCCTCACCACCCGTTTCTTCTTCTTCTTGCCTTTCCTCACCGGAGAAGGCGTCGGCTCCTCCTTCTCCTCCTCCTCCTCCTCCTCCTCCTCCTCCTCTTCCGTCTCTTCCTCGCTGTAGTCGAGCTCGCCGTCCATGTCGCCGTTGAGATCAATTGTTTCGTCGTGGGCCGTGAACCCAGGGGAGGCGGCGGTGGCAGCCGAGCCGGCTGTGATGATGTCTTCCATGTCAGGCTCCGTCGCGTCGGCGTTGCCAAGATGCGACGAGGAGGCCTGCAAGAAGAGCAGCGCGTCACAGCAGAGAGGTGGCGTCAGGGAGGCTGCGTAGGCTGGCGGCAAGTAGGTGTATGGAGGGTATTGGACACCGGCGAAGGCGGGCGAGGGCGTGCGCTGGGCCGGGCGACCATGGGGGGAGGTGATGTTGGGGTTGAACCCGTCGTGTACGTCGCCGTCGGCATAGCCCGGCGATGGCGTGCAGCCCCATGGTTGTGGCGACGACGAGAAGCCGGTCGAAGATCCGACGCTTTGTTGGCTCCAGGATGCGTGCGAGCCGTGGCCGCCGGGTGGATTCATCATCCCCACGCGCGTCGCCTCGGTTTGTTCCGCCGAGCGCTCCGCCTGCTCCGCCGTTGCCGCTGCCGCGAGCGTCGCCCTGTCCAGGGCCTTCTTGGCCCTGTTGCGCCTATCGGCGGTGACGGCCTCCCGGCGCTGCACTTTCGCCTTCCAGACGGCGTTACTCATGCCCGGGGGCTTGGACGGCGGTGCCCTTTGCTTCCTCTGCTTCGGCTGGGCGGCGGCGATAGTGGTATCCGTCACGGTGCGGGGGAACACGTACTTCTTCGGCGGCATGGCGGCCGGCTTGGAATGGAGGAGGAGGAGATTGGCGGGAGGAATGGAGAATGAGAGGGAAGCGAGAGGAAACGGCGGGAAAAGGGCCTCCTCTCACCGACAGAATGACCCCACACCCTTGTTCGCTTCCGTCAGCGCTCCCAGGCGACACGCGAGCGCTTGAGTTCGGCTCGGGGTCATCGGCTGTTAATTCGGTCCAAACCAGCGCTAAATGAGATCATGGGAGCGCGACTGGGCCGATTTTCAACCACCGACGCTAAAAAATTGTCCTGAGGGAGCCTGTTAGGGGCGCGGCTGGAGATGCTTTAATAGACAGTGCGATTGTGACACCTTTGAGAGAATAGTGCGCGCAGAAGCTGGACACAAACTCTTCCCGCTCAATAGATCAAGCCCGTTTGTTTGCGGGAGTACATTGTTGTGCTGATCCTCTACGAGAACAACCATGAACGATTTAGCTTCAACCAACCTTGTACTCAAGCCCGTTTGGAAGTCTGGACCGCTCTCAAGCCTGTTTATAACCGTCCTGACCCACAAAAAACTCTCACCCCTCCTGCGTGTTTTTGGTCAGCGTCGCTCTAGAGCATCAGCGCCCGCATTCATGCCCGTCCAGAGCGAACGCGACCGCTCACCTGCGTTAGCATTGGAGCGGCGCGCCAGCTGAGAGAGCACCGCCTACGCCGCTTTTCGATACAGGCAACTGGCGCGCGTTCAAAGGACACGACGGCCGCCCTTTCGTCCGTCTCCCACCCACATTGATGGCACGCTGTTGGCGAGGCATCTCCTCCGCCGCCACCCGTCCGTCCGTCTGCTATATAAACCGCTGCCTCGATACCCCGACCGTAGCCACAGTCATCCCCCTCCACACCACTCCCCGTCATGGATCGCTCGGTTGCCAAAGCTCTCTGGGACGGGCTTACGTCGGAGCAGAAGAAGGCCATGGCCGCCATTGCTGCCGACTCGCAGGCCGGTAGGCAGCAGTGCAAATAGAGGACGCCTCCTCCGACGAGGCAACGACACTCTCCTCTTCCTCTGCAACACCCTCCTTCACTCCACCCTCGTCGATGCATTGCACCCTGACCATCGGCGAGGCCCGTGCCCATTATGTGGGCATGGTGCGGGAGGAGCAGTTCCAGGAAGCGCAGGCCGATGCAAACTACAACCACAACTTACTCCCAGAGCATCTCCAGGTGGAGGAGCAGGTCGCCACCGGCAAGGCGGTCGCACTGGACGCGGACCTGGTGGAGCAGGAGGTGCTACTTGAGTCCTACCGGTCCGCCCGCGAGATCTGCCTCGCCCGCTGGCGGTACCGGCTGCGGGTGGCGGAGGTGGCAGCCGCCGGCAAAGAGTGTGGCGATGACGATGCAGATGAGGCGTTGTTCGGCAACACCGACGAGGAAGACATCACCGAGATAGCACCCCGGCACCACGACCACG